CATCCTTGTTATATCTTTAAAGCTAATCGCTAATCGTTGCAGCTAAGCGTAGTTTACTTAGTGCTAAGTATAAAGTGTAATTGCTAATCGTTAATTGTTAATCGTTAATCGTTAATTGCTAAGCGTAATCGCTAATCGTTAATCGTTAAGCGTAATCGCTAATCATTAATCGTTAAACATAATCGCTAATCGTTAAACATACTACTTGTCTGCTAAATTCTACTCTAATAATAATAACTAAATAAGACTAAATAATAATAATAAATAAATAATAAAATACAATATCGAAATAATAAACTAATAAAATAATAAACTGTTCTATAACAATATATTATATATTATTTATTATAATTATAATTTTATAATATAAAATTTTATAATATATTAATTAATATTTTATAGCATCATGAAGATACTTCACCACATTATTTATTAGATGTTAAAATTATAAACATAATAAAAAAGGATATAGATATTTATCATTATCACAACAAGCAAATATTGAATATTTAAAGCAATTATTTCAAAATTTTTCATATTATAAAAATAATAGCAATAAAAAGTTTGATAAAATTAATACTATTTAACTTTTTTATATATTATATTAATTATTAATATATAAATATTTATTTTTTAGTCTAATGCAATTCAATATTATTATACTATACTTCCTTTTAGTGCTCAACAAAAGCAATACTATAAGTTAAATATTTGAATATATATAAAATTATTGTATTTATATTACTTAATATTAATTAGTTATTATACTTTATAGTATATTTACATATAACAACAGATAATAAAATTACTCATAGAATTATTCAAAAACCTAATTCAAATTGTTCAGTTCAATTCTAGTATTATATATCTAAAAATCTTAAAGAATATCCTTTTATTATTATATTATCAAAAGAAATTCATAATCATCTAACTTCTCTGCTAGTTAAAATACTTAAATCAATTTTAAATAATTTAAAAGATATAATATATAATAATGATATATTAGATTTTACTACACATAAACTTTTAAATCATAAGTATATAAAATTTTAATTTATTTTAATTTATTATAATATATTTTATTATTATGTTATTTAAATAATTTATATTTTATTATTTAATAGGACCAACATTAATTTCATATTTAAAAGAAGTTCTATTACCTCAATTATATCTATCTTTAAATAATCTTTCAAAAATTGATGTATTAATAGCATTTAGAAAATGTGCTGAACATCCTTATAGTCAAAATATTTATGATGTTGCTTATTTATTAATGAATAAATCTAATAATGATAATCCTTATATAAGAACTATTAGTAAGTAAATCTTTAAACAATAATTTATTTTAATTTTAAATTATAATTTAATTAATATTTATTTATTTCAAGGACTACTTAATGGTAGTCAATATCTTGTATTATGTAAATATAAACATCAAATTAAAGGTCTCAAAAATTCTAAATATATTGAAATAGATATATCATTTAAATAAGTTTATAGTTCTATTAATGAATAAAAAATTTGTATATAGAGTGAAACTTATCAAAAAAGTATATATTTATATTTAATTATAATTTTTAATATTATTAATATTATTAAAAATTTAAATTTAATTTTTAAGCTCTTACTTTTGCTCAAGTATTTACTATTTTGCAAACTGCAGATGCATATCAATAATTATTTGAAGAATTATTTTCATGTATTGAGCATGATACTAAAAAACCAATAAAATTTTATAATATTCATAATCAAGATATTGGATGTGTTCTTGCAGATGAGCATTATGATCAAGCTTTAGGTTAGTTTATAATAATTAATTATAATTAATATTATTTTATAATATATTACTATTCTAAAATTTAAATTTATAAGGATTGGTCAATATTTAAATCAAAAATATTCTATATATAGTCCAACAGAGTACTTAAAATATATTTATAAAATTTGTACTGTATATTTCAAAAGGTAAAATTTTAAAATTAAATTATTTTTTAAAAATTATATAATTTTTATTAAAATAATTTATAGAAATATTAGAAATAAAGCTGGTGTTACAAAAGAAATTAAACAAAAATATATT